AGGGAGAGGGGGAGGGGGAGAAGGAGAAGGAGAAGGAGAAGGAGAAGGAGAAGGAGAAGGAGAAGGAGAAGGAGAAGGAGAAGGAAGCAATGTTTTGTGTCCTTTCAGAAATAAGGAGAGTGCATTAGAGTCCAATTACTGACTTTTAATTCTTCTCTCCTATTGTTTAGGACCATATGATAAGACATATGCTTTCCATGGTGATTATGTGTGGACGGTGACTGATTTTGGTACCAACCCCCCGTTAAAGATCTCAGCATTGTGGAAGGGCCTGCCTGGGCAGCTAGATGCTGCTGTGTACTCCCCCCGTACTGGGCGCACCTATTTCTTCAAAGGTCTGTGAATAGAGATGAACCCCACCCCTTCCTCGAATGCTCCAACTTGATCCCTTTTTATTCAGAAAGGGATGTTCCACCTCCATTCTGTTGATGATGCCCTTTTTCTTCTCCCAAGGCCTCCAAAACTAACCATAAGATAAATTGTAAATGTAATCGCCTCTGACAGGTCATTTTCACACTAGTGACTTCCCCCAGATATTGTTGAAATGATATAAAGTTGCCCTTGTTATGTTGGCACAGTAATGGGTGGGTAACTTTAGAAGACAGACTAAGTTGCTAGTATGGTCGTGACCATAGATTCTGTGGCTGCTATGAATGGTTTCAAACTGTATTTTTTATCGTCTCTTTTTAATCTGTATGCATGCCAACTTGGTTACCAGGTACTAAACTGTGGCGTTACCGGGGATTCAAACTGGATTCTGGTTACCCTAAACCTCTCACTCGTATCCCAGCCAAGATAGATGCTGCTCTCTATTGGCCAAAAAACAAGAAGATCTTCATATTTAAGGTAAAATAATGTACCTTCAGGGTTTAAACCTATGGGTAGCATTAAGACAGAAGTCATTTTAAACCGAAAAGCTTTATAAAATGGAAAATATGAGTTTGGAGGTACATGAGACAGAGATAAGCCTGGATTGTTAGGATGTGAATTGTGCCATATCAAAAAACTGCTTGCTCCGTTGTGGTTTAGATAGTTTTTGTAGTTGATCCTTGCAGCTTAAGCGTCCTTATTCTCTGGTATTTGTGGGAGGGAAGCAGAAGTTCTGTGAGTCCAGGGGATATACGAAGCACGACATATGTTTTCTTAAAATGGGGCTTGGCAGACTGAGGATGGTTTGAATGTGTCACTAATAAGAGGCATGGGAGAAGGAGGTGGAGCTGATCAGAGCATTGCAGTAAGAACTGGAGAGCAGGCAGTGCAGAGAAGGGAAGTCACTTGGCTAAACAGACTTTGCTTAGTGACAGGAAGGAGAGACTATGCTCTTACATAGTCATTGATGATGATAGAAGACTGGTTTGTCAGGAGGTTGTTCTGTTCTTTTCTTAAATATTTGAGGAACGCTAGAGAAATGGACTAAGGAACTGGGAATGCTAGGAAGGGTGTTAATTCCTTCTCAATCTCTTTTCACAGGACACTGGCTACTGGCAGTGGGATGAGCTGGGGAGCTATTTCTCCAACATACCTAGAAAGATCTCCACCCTTTTCACTAGGGCTCCATCCCACCTGAATGCTGCATTTACCTGGGAGAATGGCAAGGTCTATTTTTTCAAGGGACAAAGCTACTGGAGACTCAATGACCAGCTTCGGGTTGAGAAAGGCTACCCACTAAGCACAGCTGAGCGCTGGATGCACTGCTAATGCTTATGGTGATGTTCTGGTTAAGAAAATTATACTTTCAGAAACAGCTGTTCTCTGAGCAATGAGATTTGTTTTTTCAAGAGACCCAACAGCGACACCTACCGGTGAGGCGCAAGAGCAAGTCTTCTGAATAGGACCAATTTGAGCAGAGGAGCAAAACATACTGACATTGTGGAAACTCCGTTTCTGCTGAGCTCCTTCATTGCAAATATATTTACCTTTAAAAAAAAATGCTGGATTTCAAAAACATCCCATTTTCCTCGGAGGCAACATGGCTGGCAGAAAGAGCTAGCCCAGCTTCAGGATAACAGGAGACCCAAGAGACCATACTTAGGAGGTCAGACTGTAGAATAATTCAATATTTGAGGGGTTTTTTAAGGGAACTAAGGGCATTACAGAAGTATCATTCCTTGTTATATGAACACTCTTCTATGACTGTGTCTGGTCAAATAGAGCTTTCATAACAGAATACCGATGGCTCACTTTTCCTTGTACCTCTGTCAGAAGAACGGCTAAGCTTTTTTTTTAAAAAAAAAATTAAAGCTAAAATGACAAGGAAAGTGTCCTGGGGTAGGGGAGTATATCTTTTGCACTGCACGCACACGCACGCACGTCATTGTTAGGGCAGACCTTGGATTCCAAGATAATAATTTAATCTCATCTATCCAGCAGTGGACTGAGGGCTAGAATGTTGCTTCCAGTTATGCAAAATGTACCCGGTTCCCAATAAACAAAGAACGTTGGTATGCATGCGTTTATGCTTTTTTTCTCCAACCAGGAAATAAAATTGTTTCTGGTTTTTAGTTGGGTACAGCCAGGCCAAGAGTTGTGCTGGTTAAGGCAGGGCAGCACAGGCTGTCCCTTCTTCCCCTCTGCATTGGTGTGCTTCACAACTGTTATTTTAGTACCGGAAGCAGAAGATCCCATGAGCGCATTTCAAAAGGCAAAAAAATACAGTAATTTAAACAGTGAACAATCCTTTCCTCTCCATTTCACTTTGCAGATGAAGGAGGAGGAAGTGTAGTCAGCTTATCTCAAAGAGGTTATGCTACAACCAGGCCTGAAAATAGTTGTGGGCCATTATTCCACTTTTATGCTCCACTGTGATTGAAATTCTCCATTGAAAATAATTGGCTGGGCAAGCACGAGCAACAGTAAATGCCAATCTGCCTTAAACACTCACAATAGTCTTCTGTTACCAGTTCAGAGGAAAACACTCGCCCTGCCAGAAAGTAGGTGGGATTCATTATCAGTTTTCTCAGAAGGAAGTGAAGGTCAGCTTGCAATTTCTGTAATACAACTCTGATCTCAGTTTGCAAGAAGTCACAGTACAGAATTCTCTTTTAGTGTCACTTTCACAGGGCTACTGTTTCTACTCCCCGCTGCTGCCAGCTTTGCAACACTGAGAACAATGAACCACAGTCAGAAGTGTTGCAGGTTCTACAGCAACAAACCCCAACCCCGCCCACTCCCTCCCACCAATACATCCTACATAAAGGGAAATAAAAGAAATGAAGCCAGACAATCTGGCACTTCAACACCTTCATGTCCTGCCAAAGGGGAAAACTGACAGAACCTTGTCAAGTTTATCTCTGCAATCTTGCTTAAGCTACTGAGGGGGAAATGTGAAGCTGCTAAGCCAGCATTCCACTTGCAGGACCCGCTAGAGCAGCTAAAACACAGGGATTAGGAGGAATGCTGAGACAAGGATTCCCCGCAGATCAATCTCTTTTCATGACCCATCCCCAAGCTCCACATTTTCAAGTGAAAACCAGCTTCAGAGCAGTTTTGTCTGCACTATAGCTAGAAGGGATTTGGCTCAGCTTCTGAAGAGAAACAAGCATGCGATCACAAGCTTCAGAGCCAATCCAGGAATGGTACAAACACAGTGTGGAAGGGCCCTAGTCCAGAAGTGTCTGTTGGTTTCATTTACTGCTTCATTTCTCCTGTCATCTCAGCCAGCTGGCTGGACTTGAAAGAAACCAAATAGGCACTCCGTTCAAGGGAGTTGTGCTGAATGAATGCGCCAGCTCCATTCCTGCTTTCTAGGAATTGGAGAAGGCACCATACGGGAGAGTAAGGTGCCAGCACACGCAATAGGTCGTGTCAAATTAGGTGCCTTTCTTTCATTTCCAACAGGTCTCAGGGTAGAAATGCTGAGGAGACCAACGTAGCGGCTGCTCATTGGAAAGGCACATTGTTCCACCAACACCGTTCCAGAATACTTTTGTCTGTCCCTGATTAAAGTGAAAGCATTCGGAAGGTAAATGCCCAGTTTGGTCTTCCCTTCTCCCGATGTGGCTGAAAGCTGTAATTACTGATTTTTTGAGAGAAGCCCATGTGCTCCTGCACGTCTGAATCTTCACCTTTCATGTTATTCCAAAATTAAAATGGGGAACGGTGGTATGGCAGGAGAAATAAATCCAGGTCAGGGCTCCTAATCTGCATCTCCACAAAGGAGGCTGCCTACCACTTCAGTGATTCATCTGTCCTGGTAGTACCATTTTTAGATTAACTTCTCCTGGCAGACAAGGCACAATTGCTGATAGGTGATCCTTGCAATCCTTTCATCATCATAATTCTTCATCAACTATAACTGGCTCAATCAAATATTATCAAATAAAGAGACAGTGAAGTAACTGGTTGTCCTAGTCTGGAAGAAAGTCTAGTTTTAATTAATAACTGTATTAAACAGGGTAGTGTTTCTCTTTCGCGCTTATGCTGGTGCATTCCAAAAGTTTCTGAAACACTGAGCTTAGGGACATGCATGTAAAAACTTTACAGATGTGTATCTGGCCCACGTTGCAAACAGACATGAGGACTGTAACAAGAAAGCAGGAAACCTGCTTCAAATTTAATACACAATCAGGCAAACATTTTTGCAAGGGTAAAGAGCTGGCGGCTGACCAGATTCTGCAGCATTATAAGCAGAACACTTGGCAAGTGGGAGAGAATGTCTAACCAACTTAAGTTTTGGGCTGGCAGCTGCTAGCTTGTTCTTAGGTTTTATAAACTACTTTTATAATTAAGAGGCCACCAGAATCTATTTCATGTTATTTCCACTGCAGTTTCACATTGGGCATTCTTGGCACCTGCCCACATTCTGGATTTGCTGCATACGCATGTATGCATGCACACATACAAACGTTCTCTTACCAGCAGTTCACCAAAACAAGGGGGTGGGAAACTGAGGGGGCCAGAGAAGTTAGAATCAGCAATGCATGTAAAATTGAGCACGGTTCCATATCACAATTAAGATTAGAGACAAGACTATAGGAGTTTCAGAGAAATTAAATGAAAATATGAGGAAGTATCGTTGTTTATCCTGAGGGCCTCTTATGATAGCAGAAGATAGCCATTTAAATATCCCATGATGCTTCAATTAAAATAGCTCTCCTCTCCTATCAGATACGTCCAAGGCCTAGAGTCCACTGTGGGAGGGAAGGGGACCAGATGGCATTTCATTAAGAACTCCTCCAGATTATGACATCCTTCAACTTCCCTTGACCTGCTATTCTGCTTCCCCTTCTCAACTGGGTTAAGATAGTCCAATTATTTACCTTCCTACGAAGCAGCTTCTGTGCATGACAATAAAGCTGCGTGGCACTGCAGAAATGGGGAACCACCAAGAAAAAAAAAGTTAATAAAGATTTTAATATAACAGTGCCAGTAGGAGCTGAATGAGAGATCAAAGAGAAATCCATATGGAGTATTGAGATTAAATGCTGACCAAAGCCAGATGCTGTTTTAACTTGAATGCAGAACATAAGGCAGGTGTTATGAGCTACACAGCAAACACTTCCTTTCATCCATTCACTTGAATGTTAGTAGAGAAGGGCAGATGAAGTACAGTAGTTTAGCTACAGATTCCTATCTCTGAAGAAATGTCTTCTTTTTCCTGCCCTTCTCATGCAGTTTTTTAAGGAAGACACTTTCTGCAGTTGCCCCAGGAGATGCCATGATGATCAAGGCCTGAGCAGAACTTACTTCTTCAGAATATATCTAGGGTGATTAAGAATCCCCCACAGGCCTAGTGAAGGCTATCTGACATTGCATCTTCCCCAGAAAGACATCTCCTCTCTCCACATAAACTAATGTTTGTCACTAACCCTAGGCTGCACAGCAAGGCTTATGTTCTTCAAATATGATGGGCCACCTTCTTTCCTTGTTGTCCAACAAGGATTAAAGCAGACCTTCTCCAACCTTGGAGCCACTGCCAAGAATTCTGGAAGTCTGCATATCTGGAGGAGGCCAATGCTGGAGAAGCTTGGATTTGAGCACATGCCCTGCAAGCAAAGGACATTCATTTCCCCCTTTTGAATACCAGAGATGGGTGGAAACAAAGACAGCTTTTTGTCTTTGTAAGGACACCAGAAAATAAGCTTAATTCACCCTCTCCCCTAAGAACTTCAGCTTGAGCCATGATATGATGGAGACAGATTGTGTAACACAAGTGCATCTCTGTTAAGTTTTATAAACAGGAACTGTTATAAAACAGTAACAAATATTTCATAGGAAACAATCACAATAACAAAAAGGTTTCTTGAACAGAATTTGAACCCATGCACACAAAATGAATTTGGATTAAAAAGTTCAGGATTTAGAATTCAGGTGAGTTAACTTACCCAGTTAAGAGTTCAAGGGTTAGGACTCTTCTTTTTAATCCTTATGTACATGTTCAAAGCACCATTGTCAAGTTAAATTCAGAATCATTCTAATGCAGGCATGGTTCTATACATGCTAGAAAAGGCACTCTGAATGATACCAGTTTTATTTGGCATTCACTCCTTTGGGGATTAGAACAAGGGTGGGGAAAGTGCAATCACTTTCTTGCCACGCCCCAGTTGATTTATATTCATCATCACCAGCTTAATAAAGGTGAACATCTGAAGAAGTGGCCTGCTCTAAAAATGTAGGCTCTCCCCATAAGTTTTATAACCCTGCTGGCCAGATTTTCCCACAACAGAGATTAGGAAAACTATGGTTATCCAGATGATGGACTACAACATCCATAAAGTTTTTCTATGATGATTTATGTCAGAGTCCAATATCTGAAAGACCACAAAGGACCATTCTCTCCACAGACATGATCATGCCATCACCCATCCATTCCGTAAGGTAGATATGATGGCATGATCGTGTCTGTGGAGGGAATATGGAAAGACTAGGCCAGTAAGAATGTTACTACTCTCCCTATTGGCTAGAGTTGGCAATCTTCAAGAGGTGGGCTCTGCCATATGATCTTGTGCCACAATAAGGATGACCAAAACAGTTTCAGTCATAACCCTAAGATCAAATGGATCTCATATGAGAATGCTGACATCCTGTGTACATTTAATTTTTTAAAAATTATTTCATTTTGAAATTGCTGGGCACCTTTTTAGAATATTCTGGGCACCACAGGTGACTGCAGTCATGTGAAGGTTGAATGTCTGGTTATGGCTTCGAAGGGTCCAGCTTAGATCTTTATTTAGATTAAGGAGAGAAGTGTAGCTTTCCCTTCTCTATACAGGCAACTCTGACTGCCCTAGAGAAAGGATAAACTAAATACAATAAATCTCTCAAATGGCACACATACAAAAAATGGCAACATCCTGAAGAAGCACCACAAATCAGAACAAGTATGCCATCTATTTATATTGCAACAAACCATTGTAAGCTGCTGTGTAGTTGTATTTTACCCCTGAGTTAAGTTTCTACAAAGGGCAGTTTATCAAGGCCAAAAGGTGCTTGCTTCAGATTTGCTGCAAAGTAGAGCAAATAGCCTTCTTGTCCAAGAGAAGGCCACAGCTATGGCTTAGCACTGAGACAGAGACTAAATCAGCTTCAAGGACAGTGACAGCCACCCCAGACATAGCCAATTTATTCCAATATCGTGTGGAAGGCAGCTGTCAAGATCTTGTAAAGGAAATGATGTCCTGCCTTCATTGACCAAAATGGAAAGACGTGAATGTGTGTTTCTGAAATCCCTTCTCTCCTCCTGCTTTAAGTCACAAGTGGCCCTTCCCAAAGGGAGGAAAGGAGATAGACCCATCTGGTTTGAACACTAGAAAAGCAATCTTAAAAAATATAGCAGGCTACCCAAAGATGCTTGCAGACAGGACATAACATATTCAGAACCCTGGGCTGACTTGTGCTGTGACTCTGCTGCAAGCACAAGTGGAAGAAGACAACACGGCAACACACATACACACACATCCTTCAGAGGCACCCACGTGGAGTGGTGAGGGGAACGGTAGAGCCACAGTCATAATCCAGATCCACTGTGGTATGGGCGGTTGTGCTCAGGTTGCTCAGGGAGGTGCCAGTTCCCAGGTGCTGACGGTCACGCAGGCTCTGGATGTAACTCTTTGGGGTGCAAATGGAAAACAAGACAGACAGGTTAGCCCATGAAATGGGAATCATGCATATGTGGGTACAGGCAGGGGGGCCGTCACATTAGGAACCAATTCATGTTTTTCAAAGCATCTATCTCTAGCCACTTTCGATGTGAGGAAGAGCCTCCATGGGCAGAACAGATATGGGATTAAAGCAGTTATGTGTTCCTGCATCTTTGGCAGGGCACACTTTTCCCATACCTTTGCATATAGATCAGAGCTACAAATACCATCTGTGTTACAGATCAAATCTTTAGAAAGAATCATATTGAAGTCTGGAAAGAATCTCCCTCACCTCCGACTATCAGTGATCCTGACTTCTTCCTGCCATGAACCAGGTTTCCCCAGCCTGATACCCCACAGATGTGTTGGACTTCCATTACTATCCTCCCCCCAACCACAATTCACCTGGAGAGCCTTAGGTTGGGGAAAGTAGTCCTAAAGTCTTAAAACTGAGTTCTTTGTATCAGATGCCAGAATCTGTCCCAATGTTCAATATTTAATTTGAAAGTCAGAATTTCTTCTCACAAAGCATTGCCAACTATGTGGTGATGACCATCAATTTCAGACAGATTTAAACTGAGATTAGACACAGAGTAGTAGAACTGTTTCTACCACAACTCTTTCACAACCAATTACAGTGGTACCTCGGTTCACGAACGCTTCTGTTCACAAACAATTCGGTTCACGAACAGCTCCGTTCGCAAAATTTTGCCTCCGTTCACGAACTCCACATCAGGTTACAAACAGGATCCGCGGCCATTTTCCCTCCCGTGACACGTGGTCGCAGCTTCCTGTAGGGAGGGGGACTCTCCCTCCAAGCAGTAACCGCCTCCCCACCCACCTTCCTGTCCTCCACGCCAGAAGTCGCGTTGAGCAAGGTTAGCTTTCTCTCTCTTCGTACTGTACTTTGTGTCATAATTTTGCGGTTTTAAAAAAAAACAAAAACATATGGTTCAGAACAGATTAACCGTAATTACATTGAACCTTATGGGGAAATTTGATTCGGTTCACGACCAATTCGGTTCGCGA